TATCATAAATCCACAATCAATTCTTCCTTTAAGAATTTCTACCATAAAATACATATTCACACTTTCAGTATTTTTCATCTGTTATAGCGATACCAATTGCTGTGGGACTATCGAGTACAGGGTGTTAATAATTTATATATATCTCAAATTCTTAAGTTTTTTCATATTAAAATTACAACGGAATATGTTTCTTTCTAGAATTATTAACAGTTGCTGTTCTTTGTTCATGATTCAAATTTATTTAGATGATGACGCACGACCAGCATGTCCTTGTATCTGCTGTCTCTTCTTACACAATTTCTATTAGCTGTTCAACGCACATGAGCTTCTGATCATGTGCGAGCATTTACCAATCGTAACGTAGAGTCATGCAATGGTGTAAACAGGGGCTAATCTTCTTTCGCCTAGGTTTCCAAAGCTTTAATATTTGTATAGCTTTGCATAAAACAAATTACTTTAATTTCCTGACTGCACAGCTGGTCTTGTTCTACGAGTAACGTTTTATTATTATTATTATCAACACACTCTTCCTCAAGAATAATAATACATCCTGTTTCTGCTGCCAAATGGTATTTTTTATCATTTTCCCTGACGTGCCCAGTAATAAATCTATTACGTTACAAACCACCACCAGAATTTATAACCTTACCAAGTTAGTAACATGAACATACAGTTGAAATACTTTTATGAATACGATTGACTAAAACATTAAGCGATATACAGAACTATTTGTCAAGCGTATTATAGAAACTGAAAATTTGTCATATATATATTATTAGTATGTGACTACATTTGAATACAGAAACGGTGCTTAGTGTATCTAAAGAAGCACAAGATGTATAAGATTAAGAAAACAAAGAAAACTTAGTAACATAGGATTATTTATACAAAAATGTGGTTTAATTGTGCTTTGACTGATTTGTTTTTCCATGCCACATGTGTTTAGAGGTATAACTTCCCAGTTACCCAGTTTACAGTAATAATAGGCATATCATTGCAAAAATTGATTTATGTAAAGGACGTTTTTACGAAATAGTAGAAATATTTTTTAAACCTTACCTGGATAATTATCTGAATTTAATTTTGATTCATACATTTATCTGAAATGTTCTCATAAATGCCATTTGTTGTGAAATAAAACATATAAATAAGTTTACGGCAGGTAAGGAAACTAATACCATATGAGCCAAGAACTACAGTTTTGAGAAGGAAAGAAAACGTGAGTGAATATTCTAGCTGAAAACTTGAATAGTATCAAGTTGTCTCTGGGAGTTTAAAAAGTGTTGAGGTATATGTAAATTTGATAACTATATCAAAGGTGGTGTTGTTTAAGGTTTTTAAAAAGTGTTGAGGTATATGTTTATCTGATAACTATATCAAATATTGTGTTGTTTAAAGTTTTTATAAAGTGTTGAGGTATATTTATATCTGATAAATATATCAAATACTGTGTTGTTTAATTTTTTTATAAAGTATTGAGGTATATGTATATCTGATAACTATATCAAACTTTGTGTTGTTTAAAGTTTTTTATAAAGTGTTGAGATTTATTTATATCTGATAACTATATCAAATATTGTGTTGTTTAATTTTTTTATAAAGTGTTGAGATATATTTATATCTGATAACTATATCAAATGTTGTGTTGTTTAAAGTTTTTATAAAGTGTTGAGGTATATGTTTATCTGATAACTATGTCAAATGTTGTGTTGTTTATACTTTTTCTATCTACGTTATAAAATTCATTGAACTATCTTGTAAGAGTTCGTGATCCATATGTACCTGGTTCCATTTATTACATTTACAACATCATCCTTAGAATACATTTAAAAACCACGTTTATTTTCACATTCTTATATTTGTAAGTTATAATTTTATTTGTATTAGTATCTACACAAGGAATACATGAGTGTCAAGTATATTTTACTTTCTAAAAATAAATTTTCAAAGTAGTAAAGAGAGAAAAAAAAATATTTAAAATTTTTCAAATGGACTGTTATCAGTACGTTGTTTCGTTAAAATACAAAACAGATAAAGACATTAATAGTGTGAAAAGTAATAACATAAGTGTAATAAACATGAATGTTGCACAGTATTTAAGGAAACAATAAGAATGAAACGATCGTTCGAGCATTTCTAATTTAACAGACATAGTATGTGAAAACGATTCACTCTGAAATAGCATTGAAAGTTCTGGAATTAGACATTTTTGTAACACACAGGTCTACACCTTTTTGGCAAGAGTACAATTCTAGTCAATTTGACAATTGTAGTACACTTATATACTTTCTACATTAATCCTATAGCTGTAAATGACTGTAAGCTGAGAATCAACTCGTTCTATTGTCATGTAGTATTTTAACATAATGAAAACAAGAGCCAATATATTTTGTTTTATATATATATATATATATATGAACATAGAATGTTGACTGGAACAGTAAAAATTAGATTATACTCATACTGATGTCGAGAATTTGTAAACGTTATAATAATTACGAAAATTAAATATCCACTGTAGTACAGCAACGTTATTAATATGATGCATTATCGTTAATTTATATTTTACAAAAGATCATAATCACTAGTTGCAGCCCCTCAGTGGCTCAGTGGTATGTCTTATAATGCTAGAAACCAGGTTTCGATACCCGTGGTGGGCAGAGCACAGATAGCCCTTTGTGTAGCTTTGTACTTAACTACAAACAAACAAATTCTAGTTGCTTTAATACTGAACGAAAAATGTGGTGTGTTGACGTTATTGACGAAGCAGAGTTAACACTATCAGGCTTTTGTATGATGTAAAGGATGGATAATGTGTTAAATGCTGTGATGTAACATAACTCTATCATTGGAACATTAACTATTGTACGATGACATTCTTGTAAATTCTGTGAAGCTCACGACAAAGGTATGGTCTACAATAAAGTACATATCTATCCTATTACATGAAATCATTTTATAAAGGACATTCATATAAAACCATGTCAGACTTTCATCAACGTGATTAGATTTATCTCTTGAGACTGCTCATCAAAGCCAATGCTTATTACAATTATGTTAGTATTATACAGACGTATAGTAACATTGTCTTCTACGTATAGAAACATCATCCACCTTTGCAAAACGCATACAATTAAATATATATATAAATGAAAACTATAAACATAAGTTGAGACAAAGTGAAATTTTTATGAAATCCTACGGAAGTATAGTGAAACTTTCCGCCTATAGTAAAATATAGTAATATGCCTAGTAAGAACATCTGCCTATACAAACAATATCATTAGTAAGACAATCCACTTAGTGGCACCATCCTCCTATAGAACCTTAGTAACACCGTCCGCCTATAGAATCTTAGTAACACCATCCACCTTTGTAAAACACATTTAATACATCTAGAAAGATCATCTGCCTATATAACCTTAGAAAGACAATTCTTTGTAACCCAATCCACCTATATAAACACCATTCTTTGTAACACAATCCACCTATATAAACACCATTCTTTGTAACACAATCCACCTATATAAACACCATTCTTTGTAACACAATCCACCTATAAGACCATAGTAACATCGTCCGTCTATTGTAACAGACTCTGTAGTATCGATTTATGATACCACCCTCTGCCCTAAAACTTATCAGCGCCCTCTGGTGTCACTTTGTGAACATAATCGTATCTTGTGCATAGCACAATGACTCTATCCCCCTCTGAGGCAGCCAATCAGCGCACGCGTCTAGGGTCTCGGAATAACTACTATTGTTTCGCAGACCCCCAAACCTATCGATTTTTTTTTTAATTCTCTGTATATGAAAAGCTGTATTCCCAAATTATATGCTTTAAATCACATTTTTCATTCCATAAATCAAATCTTTTTAAAAATATTATAAGGAAATTTCGGACACGACTCACTGACCCCCTGAAGTATCCCCGCGGATTTCTGGGGGCCCGTGAACTCCAGTGTGAGAAACGCTGATCTAGAATGTTTATGGCAGTACAGATATTTTGAGATTTCGAAGATTAAAGAACGTCCAGGTAAGGATATTTTGAAAAAACTATCTGAATTGTATGACTTCAGTATTATCAAGAAGATGAAGAAATCAAAATGTAAGGAAGCATTTTGCCTTCCTTACATGTATTTCTGTCGTATTTAATAATATTACTTTTAAATACTGCAGATGGCAGATTGAGAAATGGAAAGATGATAAAGAGAAACACACAACTGGTATAAAAAATATGTTATTTCCAGATATTATTTTTTTCAAAAAAGTTAGTTACTCGGAGAAAAATCATATAAAGGAAAGTGTGATATTTTTAAATTTGATAGACAGTAACACGCATAATCTAAAGTCACTAACTCAGCAGTATGTAGTCAATTTAAAATTAAGAAAATAGTATTTAAGTTTAGTTAATTGAGCTACACTTATAACTTTGCAAAAACACAGTTCATTTATATAAAATTTCTACTAACAAACCAAAATCCAGCAAAAAATATACGTTTTTTTTTGGTTTATTATATAGTACAGTTTTTTTTTTCAAGTTGTATAAACAGATGCTCTCATACTAAAAAGTATGGTTAGTCGTACCATCAATCAACAGTAAAAACATTAAACCACGTCCGAGGTAAACAGGAAAGTAATGATAAGTCTGAAAGTATGGAAAAAACTGAATTTCTGTTCAGAGTGTTATAACGACAACATTTACTCAGCTTATACAACCATCGCGTTTTCTTTTGAATAAATATATAAATTTTACTAGTTCGACAGCGAACAATCTTTATGCTTATGAACCACATCCGTTAGAAACGAAAGCACGTTTCTAGAAGATAATATGTTAAAGTAAAAATGAAATATTATATTGACGCAGCTAACATAAGAGACATTGAAACACGCAGTAACAATATCAAGAGATATCGTGAAAAACAGAACTTTACACAGCTACCGGATGCTAGATTTTTCTATAAAATAGAACTGTGCAAGAGCAAAATTCCAATTCTTTCTATTGAGAAAATTTTATTATACACAAACAACGAACTCTTCGGGATGAAGGCTTTGTTAACTATCATCTTCTGCATCGTTGTTTCCTTAAGTTACGTGAATGGAAGACCAGGACAACACAGAAGAGCTTTTATTGGAGTCGTTCGTGCTTTCAATGAACTGTGTGGTAAGATTCTATAAACAAAAATGACAAATGAGAATGGCAATTACAATAATTATTAGCCGTAAAGAAACGTAATTTGGTGTTTAATATTGGCGTAAACATAATGTAATTGAAAATAAACTAAAATCCACATTTGTTTGTAACATTGGCACAAATAATCCGATACCAATTTGGATTTGGATTTTAGTTGAATTTAACTAATATACGGTTTGTTTTGAATTTCGCGCAAAGCTACACGAGGGCCATCTGCGCTAGCCGTCCCTAATTTAGCAGTGTAAGACTAGAGGGAAGGAGCTAGTCATCACCACCCACCGCCAACTCTTGGGCAACTCTTTTACCAACGAATAGTGGGATTGACCGTCACTTATAACGCCCCCACGGCTGAAAGGGCAAGTATGTTTAGTGTGACGGGTATTCGAATCCGCGACCCTCAGATTGCGAGTGGAGCGACCTAACTAATATACACGGTATTGTGTAATCACCACTGAATCTTGTGTCATTAAATGTATTCAAACATATGAAAATTAAATGAGACGTTTTAGTGAATTACGATGACGTACCAAACAACTTACCGAAGTACTTGATGATATAAGAAATGTTGGAAACTTCGAGGATGATTAAAAGTACTTCACATTGTATCTGTCAGTCAAAGAGTGTTTTTTTTTTCAGATGCATTTAAAATGGAAGGAGCTAAACACTCTATGACACACTTATTGTTTGTTTATTTACATTGATGCTGTTTTCAGAATTTTCACGCAAAGTCACCAAACGGCTATCCTGGTCGTCTCTAGTTTTGAACTGATATACTAAATCCTGGCTATCCTGGTCGTCTCTAATTTTGAACTGATATACTAAATCCTGGCTATCCTGGTCGTCTCTAATTTTTAACTGATACACTAAATCCTGGCTATACTGGTCGTCTCTATTTTTGAACTGATACACTAAAGAGAAGAAAACTAATCAACAAACACACATCATCAACGTTGAGCTGCTATTAGCTGACAAAATAGAGAGCTTTGACAGTCACCCTTATCGCGTACTCAAGGCCTCAAAGTGTAGTGTTTAAGCGTTTGTTCGTTATGTTGAGGAAAAATTAATAGGTAATTAATAGTACAATGTGCAACATTTCATCCTTTAAATAAAATGAGGCCGGACAGGGCGAAGTGGTTATCGTGCCGAACTATGCATCCATGGGTTCGAGGCTCGCGCCCAGTTGGCGTAACAAAAACCTCACTCAACCCTTTAGGGCACTTTGTAACATACAACTTTGAATAATTTTTGTATAATCTAGTTTGTTACTCATTGTTAGTTCGTAGCTCATTTTTAGCCACGGATGAGCGGCTCATAAAATGGCTCTGAGTTTTTCGTTTTCTCAAGTACAAACTTTTAGCTCATAGCTCCGTCATCTCTTGACCGATTTAAGTTCTAATTACAGTTTTCGACTCAAGAATTCAAACACTTTCAATTGATATATATGTGACCCCGCCCAAGGTCTCATGGATTAATTTATTCTGATCCTGCTTAATATAAATTTCAATTTCGGAGTAGGCTGGTAGAGGTCCTTATGAGCAATAAAATCGAAACGGATATACGCGCTCCTCACGCTTGGTATTTCTGGCGCACAAACATATAGCTAACAAAAAGGAAAACAAAGGTCTCATACATTGATTTACTCTAATCGTGCCTAAAAGAATTTCAAGTGCCGCGGCTATTGAAGATTCCCTCTCGTTTACTATAAACCTTGATATTTTAAAATGCTAATCAGGCGTTGCTTTTAAAGCTGAATTGCTTATCATTTTTATATTAACTTTCAGAGCAAATAATAGCAAACCAAACTGCGATTCGATTAGTGTCACGATGAATAATAATATAAAATCAGTTACTTTATTTAAGTTTAGAACTTTTGCGTCTCAATACACTATTTCTAGCAAACTAAAATCCAAAATGTTCGAGCTTTTTCTATGAAATGTACTTTTATAAAATGGTTTCTGACGTTCTTTTAGTCAGAAAAAAAATATATAAAAATATTTTTTTTTTTTACTTCTAAATGTTTGTAGTTGATTCGAGTTGATACACTAATATCTGGATTTTTTTTAACTTTCCCAAGAAATAGAAACTAAATATTTCAAGTCGCTCAATATCGTACAAAAGACATGCAACAATTATATAACTACTACTAACTTCTGATCAAACTAAGCTATCCACATGGATTAGAACTAAAAATAAATGCCTGATAATGAGCATAGCTAATTAAACAAAATTGTAAATTTTATTTCTTGTAATTATCAGAACGAATTGTTTCATCATTTAAGTACGCTCGCTGTTGATAATATTTTCGGTCGTAAACCCAGCAATATCTTGCGAGGTTGAGCCCACAATCTGTTACAATCTAAGCCCAGGAGGCTTAGGTCAGTCCTAAATTCATATACTGAGCTAACATTAAAGAATAATAACTCTAACTGAATAACAAACGAAATTAAATTCGAAATCTAAAATACCTAAAATATTCTAATACTGAGGGAGCCACTATCAGAGTAGCGTCTCCAGTCTCGTTACATATGGAATTATTAATACATGCGATAAATATATTTTATTTTCTACTTTTAAAATGCCAAGTATCCTGCCCACAAGTTGCACAGAGGTGAATCTCGTACTTATAACGTTAAAACCAGTTTTCGATACCCTGCTAGTCACAACATTGATAGCCTAATGAGTAGCTTTGTGATTAACTACAAACAAACAAACAAAACCAAGTAGCCCATAAAATGTGTCGTATTTAAAAAGACCCAAAATTATTATGGGAGTAAGGATAAATATTTTATTGCTACAGGTAACACTACAGGTATCGACCCTGATAGCTGCATCGCTGAGTTGGAGACAGAGGTAAGATGATGAATATTTTTTAACAGAATCATAATTAACAGATAAGTTTGCTTTTAGCTGCTGTGTTAAAGTGTCTAAATGAGTATTTTTTTTACGATATGTAATAGAGATTTAATCATTTACACTCTCAAAACATCACTGTTTTTTAATTTTTATATGCCCCCTGTGGCTCAGTGGAAAGTCTCAGGGTTGGTAACGCCAAAAATCGGGCTTATATACCCATGGAGGGGTGAACCCATTGCGTAGCTTTGTGTATAACAAACAAACAAAAACTGTGCAGAGAAAAAACAATATATTAAAATCAGTTTATATTTTGAATGTATTAGGTCGTCAAGAAATTAATGTCGCGTTTTGGAACACTTTCATGAACCACCCCCCAAAAACGTACATTACGTATAATAGTTAAACGACCGCCTAAACGTCACGTTAGTGTAGCCTATATAATGTGTAAAGTTTAGCATACTCTAATCCCTTATAGTGATGGCACACGACGAGACACACACTCGGCATGTAATGTTGTTTGAATAATATCAAATAAGTTTATGGAAATGTTTTGAACGTTCGTAAATGTCAATGAGGGTTCAGAAAATTTCATTCAGGTGACTTTAGCCTTAAAAATGGCGATGGCAGGGTCCGACACATTGGAATTGATAGTGATGCTCTGAAGACGCTTGTTGATTCTAACCCAAGGTAACACACTAGTGAAATGGCCATGAAACAATACATAAACATCTAAGGAATATGGGAAAACTCCATAAAGAAGGTGTTTGGGTGCCTCACGAACTCTCCCATGATCACCATTTCTAACGTGTGAACGTTGCTTCGTCTCTTCTGGCACGTAATACGCGTGAACCATTTTTGGACAGAACTGTCGCCGGTGATGAAAAATGAATTCTCTATGCGAGTATTAAACGCCAAAAACAATGGCTCAGTCCTAGACAAAAAACCGACCCCAAAACCTGGACTCCATCCGCAGAAAGTGATGCTTTGCATTTGGTGGGACATCAAAGGAGTAATTCATTTCGAATTCCTCAATCCACAACGAACTGTCAATGCAGAGATCTATAGTCAGCAACTGGAACGTTTAAAATCAAGCCCTTCATCAGAAACGACCTTCACTCATCAATTGGAAAAGTGTTCTTCTCCTCGACAGTGCGTGTACACATGTGACACGTTTTATGCAACACAAGATTATGGAGTTGGGTTGGGAAATTCTTCCCCGCCCACCATATTCTCCAGATATGGCACCATCAGATTACCATACTTTTCGTTCGCTGCAACACCATCTTAATGGGAAAACTGATGCAAATGTGGAAGGTGTTAAAGAGGACATCGACATGTTTTTTGCTTCAAAGCCAAATGATTTCTTTAATCGGGGCATCAACAACCTGATTGTAAGATGGGAAAGCATCATCGATAAGATTGGAGACTATTTCATTTACTAAATGTTTTGATATATAAGTTGTTCGGGTTTTTCCATCTAAAAAAAGCGACATTAATTTCTTGACGACTTAATAGATCATTAAATATATTACACCACGACTCGTATTTTCAGAAAGTCACTACATAAATTAAAATAAAGTATCTTTAACCCTGCATCCACTGTTTTGCTTGATTTCTGTTTTATCGGATTTATACGATGTAATAGATTTTAAATTGGCGTTCTACAGTATATAACGCACTTTTTGGACAGTTATAGTATAGAACAGAAGTGACTACAACGTTTCTAAAAGTTACAGCATATAATAGACGTTACCACAGTGTTTTGATATTTAGCCTATAAACGATTGTAATGTACTATAACAGTCACAGATTGTAACACTTTTTAACAGTGCTTCTATATGCACGGCAGATACAATTAATGACATACTTTATCATTGTTTCTTTAACGTTTAAATCTATAATAGAAAATATTAATGTGTGCATGCCATGACAGGTAGTATGTCTTTAATTGACAGCTACGATATATAACAAACCTTAGAATAATTTTTCAGTGTTATAGTTTATAATGGGCTTTAGCAGTATCTACTTGAGAATTATAGCTTGTAATATACCTTAAAAGTGTATGCTTGGCAGTTGCAGCTTACAATATATTTAGCAGTGCATGGATGACAGTTACTGTTTATAATAGACTTTAGCAGTGCATGTTGGACAGTTACAGCTTATAACGGATTTTAGAATGTATGTAGGACAATTGCAGCTTATAACAGATTTTAGCAATGCTTGTGAGATAACTATAGTGTTTAGCTGCAAATACTGAACTGTTCCAGTTCTGGCTTCAAAAGTGGGTCATTGACAACAGTATACAACAAAGTTAACAGTGCTTTGATATAGGGTCTACTTATCATTTATAACGCACTTTAGCAGGTGTTATTTTTTTTACAGAATGTGACAAACTTTAACGGCATGTTTTTTAAAGAATGTAACAAATTTTAGTGGTGTGTTTTCAACAGTTACGTCCTATAAGACAATTCAGCGGTGTGTGTTTGGTAGGAATATATATTATAGAACAGGCATAAACAGACTCTAACAGTTGAAGTCAGCGATAGACTTTAAATAATGCTATGGAAGTTGACTTATATCATCGTTTACTTACTATTAATTGTTCCTTCAAAAACCTTTTCTGTTTGAGTTTTCTATTTGTAACGTAAAAACAATGTTACATGTATGCTTACCACACAGTAAGTAATGAAATAGTTTTATTCTAAAATCTGAACAGGTAGTTTTTCAAATTATTTCTTATTTCTAGGATAAAACCGCATGGGATGATTGTTTAACAGCTGGGAATTTCACAGATAACAGCGGTCTTCTCACAGCTATCTGTCAGAATCGGAGCAACTTCAGAAAGTTAGTTATGAGTTAAATAGTATTTTGAAAACAAAAAGTGTAATATAAACACCTGGGGTCGCGATTATAACGAAAAAAATCATATGAAGCAAAAGAAAAGATAAATGGGATGGTTAACATATACATTCGAAGAAAGATAAGTGACGCACATTCAGAGTATCTGAACCGTTTCTTTAAAAGGGAGCAAATTAACTGACTTGAGTGATTTTTGTATTTCAGTGAGCAACAATATTGAAAAAAAACTTGTTAAAAACCTGATTAATACTTGTGTACTTGAGAATGATCACATTACTGATTCGAAACGCCGTGCCTGTTCTAACAATAAATCGAAAATATTAAAAGTTATTTCGTAGCTTAACTGACAGTGCTTCCCAAACTCAGGCGTGCCGCGGAATTTTTGCAGTTGGCTTAACAACCTATGCAACAACCATAAATGTATCACACATGTTGAGTTTTCCTGAGAAATGTAAAAGAATAAACTTGAAAATAAAATCATGAGCTTAAATCACGATATTTGCAGCTGTCCAACGTTTCGGTAAGAAATAACCAGCTGACCCTTTTATAAGGCTTTTAAACTAGGATATTTACTCAGGTTCTTGAAAATAGCATATGACAATTATCGAAAGTTAGACAGATGTAAATATCTTGATTTCAAGTTCTTCGATAAATTTCTCATATGTGTATCTTTGTAGGTAAATACGGTTGCTATTTTATACATAGTAGTAACTTAATTTTACCTGCTGTTTCTTGGTCATTTTGTTTTCTGTAGATGAGAAGATGTATACTAACAGCCGCAACGACAAACTGGGAAAGTGAAAGAGGCAGGATTACATCAGAAATAGTAAGTAGTGACAGAGATAAACACACATCATTAGATATCGATCTGTTGAAGAAACCGCTTGTTACGTATTACAATTTCGAATGGTTTGAAACCGAGCTAAATGATAGTTTAAATTCAGTAGTTAAATAAATACCGACAAGATTGATACACACAGTTTCTTTTTAAATACAAATATGTTTAATATATAAAAACAACAATACAATTTACAATAACAATTATTACAAATAGTTATTACAAACAGTGACTTATATGCAGAAGTTTTACAAACTTACAAGCAATATAAAGTATTCTTTCTAGTCTGAAACTACATTGATATCTTATTGAGGGTTCATGATGAGCGAGTTAATTTAGAGTTGATGTAGATACAACTCACTTAATAGAAAGCTAGCTAGCTCTGTGAAATTCACTGATCACACGCCGATTTTTCCTACCGGTGACGTTAGGTAATGTTTTCGTAAAGGTACTAATGTCCGATGTGAATCCACTGAGTCTGAAGTTAAATGATTGGTAATGTTCGAAATTCATAAACGTTCCTGGTCAATATGTTTGAAGTTTCCGATTAGTAAGCGTTATAACAATCACAGTTATAGCTTACGAAGTTTATAGCACACCAATTACAGCAACCCAATAATAGATACTGTTTTTGGCACGTCGCGTTGCTTATATTTATAGGCGTGTGGAGAGTTTCTCGAAGCTTCAGCTTACGTAACAATACTAACACGCTAACACTAGCGTTTATGTACACATGTGTGTTGTTGATTCTTACAGTCGAGAATCTTCTACAACGTTAGAGAATATACGGGAGTTTCGCAGTACATATTTAACAGTATAAGTTGTGTACATTTCTAAATATAAATTTAATTTCAACAAACATTGATCTTGAAATAAATATATAATAATAAATCCGTCACATACTACAATCGTAAAAAACATATTTTTAATTATATTTGTTGAAAATTAACCTGAGAAGTAAAAACTGAGACCTGAACTTGTAAGATTTTGAATCCATTGATTTCCCTTTCAGTTTGGAGATACTGAATTAACTCGTGACTATGAAAATGTTTTATTGCCATCTCTCCTTCCTGTAACCTAGACATTAGTCTGAAGAAGTAAAAAAAAAACAACAATAAACACTGAGATCTAAGCAGGATTCGAACTACAAATCAGTGATTTTGATTTATGGGCGGCAAGTTTTAGTTATCTATGATCCTAGGTATAAAATCATGTACCCAACTCTCAGATTTCAATACATTAATTTATTTGGTAAGACTATTGAGCGATGGCAATAGACAGGAACCTTCGCAGGTCTCAGCACCTTTTAGGTCACTACCGCTACATGATACTTTAAAAGACTGATATAGATTAATTGAACTTGTGGTAAAAGCACGCGAGAGGGAAGATATTATCAGTGCTAGAGAGTATAACCTCACCCACGAAACACCCGTCATAGACTAAAATCAATTACAATATGTGTAACATGCTAAATATAGTCAGCGTTTGACAAATTGATTAATTTTGACAGAAATAATATCCAACAAAATCCTCAAACGTTTAGCTAACGGTAGATTTAACGGAGGAGAAAATTCTTCTTCCATAATTTCATTTCCTTCAAGAAAAAAGTAATATTTTTTTTTTCAATTACAGATGGATATAGCCTATCTCACTTCCATTGCATAAAATATCTACAATTGTTATTGTATAGTAGGTTGAGCGGTAAACTAGGTGAAGTTATTATTATTTACTAGGTAGAGCTGTAAAGTAGGTACAGCTTTTATTATACAGTAGGTTGAGCTGTAAAGTAGGTACAGCTTTTATTATACAGTAGGTTGAGCTGTAAAGTAGGTACAGCTTTTATTATACAGTAGGTTGAGCTGTAAAATAGGTACAGTTGTTATTATACAGTAGGTTGAGCTGTAAAATAGGTACAGTTGTTATTATATACTAAGTTGAGCTGTAAAGTAGATACAGTTGTCCTTATATACTGTACCTTGCATGTTATCAGTATGGAAAGGTAGAAGGTAATATCCATCATAGGAGAACTTTAATCGTACATGGATAACTTTAACTGTGGGTTCATGGATATTTACATATAATATATATATAATAAACGCAATGACGAAGGTAAAACCATCCAAATAAAACATGTATATTCTAATTTTTTACTCACTTGTGGTTGCAAGGGCCTCATATATGGAATCCCACGGAAATATACATTTAGTTAAAGTTCTAAATTTTCACTGTCATTGTAACTGATAACAGTTCAAATATGTCACTGACTTTAGAAAATCGACGACTAAAAAGTAACACTTAAAAAGCCGGGGATATATGCTTACATAAAAAGAGTAAACGAATGTGGTTCGTACCTGCACTCATAGTGTAAAGGCAATGAAAATGTCATGACGAATGCTGAAAAGCTCAGCAATTGTGACATCTGCGACATCACATATAGTCTGACATTCATAATATTATGACATCTGATATTCATACTCTGTATTTTTCAAGATTGTCCAGCATACATATCTAAGTATGAAAAATGCGCCACAGGAGGTATCGGGATACTTTTGAAATCTCATTAGACGCGGCAGGGTGTAGTAGTAGTTCTGATAGCACTGACGACTAAGATTCTATTGACAGTGTAACATTGACATTGTGAATTTGAATATCTCACGTCACACATCACATCACATCCGTGTTTTACACTCGCTATAGTTCTACTTTCTGTGGGTTACATGGATAACATTGTGATTTCAAGTATGTGTTTCTTCCTAAGTTCCTTCATTCATAGTAGGGTTGTAAAAAGCAATTCTTTAAGCAACTTAGTTTTTCTTCTTAATGACATCCCCCAGTGGCATAACAATAAGCTTAAGGCCTTCTGGATGGACACAGCCAATTCCTTAATGAAAGTGCTGATGAACTTAGCTGTCTTGGGGTACTTTGACAGTTTTACTATTGATATCAACGAGCGCTGGAAAAGAAAAAACAAACAATAACAACAATTATAATATACTAACCACATTATTTTCGTGACTTTAGATATCTCTAAGAGGTAGGGAAAGAAGAACCAAGAGGCGTCAGATGAGGAACGATTACTTTTCAGCGAAAATCACAGCAGCAAATAACGCACAGGTAGGAATCTGTGTATCCTTATTCTGTTTGTTTTTCTACTTTTCACTTCTTATCGTCAACTTGAATAGACAAGCGAGTATTTCACACTTTTAGTAATATTAGAGGGTACTTAGTATTTCACACTTTTAGTAACACTAGAGTATACTTGATATTTCACACTTTTTGTAATACTAGAGAGTACTTGGTATTTCACACTTTTTGTAATACTAGAGAGTACTTAATATTTCACACTTTTTGTAATACTAGAGAGTACTTAGTATTTCACACTTTTCAACAGAATTTGAAAAACAATTGAAAATGGCCATTACTAAATGTTTTTCTGCAGTGAACCCCTACTGTGCTTATTCCACACGTAAGCTGTTGCCTGCAACACACAAAGATGCGGTACCTACCACACAGAAAAGTATGGTTA